TTTTTTTTTTTTTTTTTACCTGAAACCCCCGACGATAGTTCGTATTGGGAAGGTTGATCGGAAGCGAAAGTGTCCCGAGAACGAGCTTGAAGAATTCGGGCATGAAGTCCCGGGATATCGAGCTTGCTTCCTCACTTGCTATCTGCCTAAGTGACGATAGAAATGCCATCTGAAACAAAAAAAATACAATGAATAAATAAGAAATAAACAGAGTAGTACGTATTAGGAAAAACGAGTTTGTTTTTGTTCTTTCATGGGAGGCGAACCTCTTTCGTCTTCTCTTGAATGTCGATGATCTTGCAGTCCCAATTCCGGAGATGGGATCTCATGAAGTCATCGATCTTCGGGAGGAGCTGCTCCCGAATCATGGTTGGGCTAATGAGTGCTAACAAGGCCCCTCTCATGTGCTTGTGGGCCGGGCCATGCACAGCTGCAATATTGCATTTCCCGAGGATGTCGAGCATGGACTGAGGGTAGCCCGGGACAAGGCCCTTGGCCTCGTTCGCTAGGATGTAGCGGTTGAGCTCGGGATCCATCGAGACTACGGTGGGGCAGCCCAAGATGTGGGATTTGAAGAAATCCCCAAACCTGTGGGAAAAAATTTAAATTGGTTATGAGATTATGCGACGTGGATTGATTATGTTTTCGTTTGTTTTGTTTATTATTGGTGATTAGTGGGGTTTTAAGCCTTTAGGCACCTTGATCTCTGGTTAATCATGAAGCTTGGGCCTTGTTTGAGAAACTCGGTGGTCTCGCCGAAGACGGGCCAGCCCATGGTGCCGGGCGGGAGGCCTTTCTTCCGGTACCGGAGCTCGTTCCACTTGAGAAGGGCAATGCTGAGGAAGCAAACTCCCCAGAATACCCCTAGGATGACAGCCAGCCCAGCCATTGATTTGATTCTCTCTCCTCAAAGCTCCAGCTATTTGTTGGGAATAAGGAGGAGCTAGAGAGAGAAAAGAGTAGAGTATAGAGAGAGAGAGAGAGAGAGAAATGAATGGGATTTGTTTGCTGTGGTTTGTGTTATCTGGTCATGAGTTCGTGCGGGTGGTTTATATAGACCTGATGTAATCAATATAGAGAGAGAAAAAAATATATATAGAGAGAGAGAGAGTACGCCCAAAAGCATGCAAGGGGTATGATGTGTATTAACTATTATGTAATGTCATATTATTTAAAGGAACAATTACAAAGAGGGGAAATGTTATGGTCTCATTACGGTACCATCTCGTCTTATGTTTTAACCGTTGGATAGTACACATGTAGTTAGTATAAGAAAGATGATCCAACGGTTAAACATGGTGTGGGCAATAGGATCGAATCCGCTATAACAAACACTCTTTGGGTTTGTGTGTGTGTGTGTTTTGTTCTGTTTTCCTATTTTTCTTTGTTAGATGAATTGAATTACATTTGATTGGTGGAGATAGATTTTCAATTAGATTACTAGGTCTCATTGTCAATAGTTTATCTCCTATTTTTCTTTAATAATTTGGTTTTTGAGTAATTGATTTTTTATTTTTTTTTTTGTTTAAAGCATTGGAGTCTCTGGAGAGGGAATTTTCCCTCTGACCGTGTTAAATTTTTAGGCAATATTGGAGCACATGGACGCCACCCCATTAGAAGCAAAGAACTGAAACTAAGTGGCTCACATGTCTGTCAAATAGATCTGTACATGAAATTACAAAAGTCACTTGAGGACATGTTCTTGTTTATTCTAAATGTACGTGTGTTGTGTGTGTGAGTGATTGACACACATTTATTTCATCGGTTATAGATAGATTTTACGTTTGTTGCAGTTATCGGTTTTTTCACCACTGGATTAACACACACTTGTAGGAATACGTGTTTGTGTTGATTCAACGATAAAAATTCCCGTGGCTGCATTACAGTATGGTCGGCTCTTTCGAATTTATACGCCCCTCTTCAAGTGAAAACATACGAGTGTGTGTTTTTATTGATTCATGATGAAAACTCCTTCAATCGAAAACATATGATTGTGTTTTTATTGATTCGACGATAAAAATTCCAACGACTGCATTGCAGTTATCAGGGTGCAGTCACCTATAGGGCCGAACTTTTCCAATTTATACTCGCCTCTTTTAGTGAAAACGTCCGAGCATGTGTATTTGTGTTGATCAAACGATGAAAAATTCGGTTGACTAAAGTTAGAATCTTTCATATTTATAACCCCTCCTCTTAAAGTGAAAACATAGAAGTCAGCCTGTATCCTATTATTAGCTAGCCTGAAACATGAACATGTAGGACGTGAGCAATTCCTAGTAACTTCTCCCGTGAAATTTGACTTTTTGGACTTCTTTTTTTCCACCAAAAACTTTTTTTTTTTTTT